TGAAGCGTGGATCACTACATCAAAAACTAATGATGTAGGGTATGGTGACTAACATAATAGAATAAAATAAAATTTAAAAAAAGGAATGAAATCTTGCCATTTGCAAGGACATGGATGAAGTTAGTATCATGCTAAGCGAAATAAGTCAGAGAAAGACAAAGACATATGATTTCACTAATGTGGAATTTAAGAAACAAAACAAAGGGAAAAGAAGAGAGAGAGAGGGCAAACCAAGAAACAGACTCTTGACTATAGAGAACAAACTGATAACTACCAGAAGGGAGGTGGGGGGAGTTAAATAGGTGATGGGATTAAGACATGCACTTGTGATAAGCACCTAGTGATGTATGGCAGTGTTGAATCACTATATTGTACACCTGAAACTAATACTACACTGTATTTTTAACTAGCTGGAATTTAATTAAAACTTAAAAAAAAGAGGGGCACCTGGGTGGCTCAGTTGGTTAAGCATCTGACTTCAACTCAGGTCATGATCTCGGGGTCCTGGGATTAAGCCCTGCATTGGGCTCCCTGCTCAGCAAGGAGTCTGCTTGTCCCTCTCCCTTTCCCTCTACCCCTCCCCCTGCTAGTGTGTGCTCTTTCTCTCTCCCTCTCTCTCTCAAATAAATAAATAAAATCTTTTTAAAAAAAGAAAATTTCTTCATTTGGACAATAACAGGGTCGATCTACCTATTAAAGAGCAAAAGATGATCACATGTAGATGCTCTGACACTTCCTCCTATAGGATTTCTTCATGTACTGAAGATAGAAGACCAGTTTGCAAGGCATCATGGAGCTATGAATATTTGATTTACTTTGGATTTGGTAGATCAGGTTTGTGGGTGAATTGACAGGCAGGACCAGGCAGATGCTCTTGAGCTCATGGGCTCAAAGATTTCCTTTTAATATACACAACGTTTTCCTTCCCATAGGATCTCAGTCATTGTTCTCAACAGAAATTATATCTTAACTACAGATGCCCTGCTGACAAAGACATCTTTTGCTTTCTGAATCACATCTCTGTCATTTTGTTGATGTAATTCATTCTGCTTTTATCATAGAGCAGAATCTTACAACATATTGTCCATCATAAATTTTTCCCTGATTTTAAGATGGTAAATTTTCCTCCCAATAGAACTGCCTACCCCTTCCTCATTATGTATTACATGTGTCCTTCTGAAATTTTTATCTTTTTTTAAAAAGATTTTTATTTATTTATTTGACAGAGAGAGAGAGAGCGAGAGCAGGAACACAAGCAGGGGGAGTGGGAGAGGGAGAAGCAGGCTTCTCGCGGAGCAGGGAGCCCGATGTGGGGCTCGATCCCAGGACCCCAGCTGGGACCATGACCTGAGCTGAAAGCAGACACTT